AACCAGAATACTCAGAAGAGGTGTGCCTACATTGGCAGAATTTATATAACAGATTACAGATTACTGAGCAAAAAATCTAAATTTAAACAAAATACCGCATCAATGATTTTTTCATGTCATCTCAAAAGAGCTCACTATACTTGGATGGTGATACTATCGGAGACAAAACGACCACATAAACTGTTAATATTGTGTTAACTATTTAAAAAGAATACACATTTTACCCGTTTAATAATATAATATTTATAATCGTTACATAAAAAGTCATATACTATATATTGAAGCAAAATTGATTTTTTAAAACAACATACAAATAAAATAATAAATTCTACTTGACAAACCAGTTACAAATTGGACCTAATGCAATTTCTTTTTCTATCTTAAATAATCATAAACGTCAAATTATCACTTGTATGTTTTTGTAATACCAAACTTGATGCTTATTTATAGATAATTCACGTTCATCGCAACCCATCCTTTTAAAATTGTTTAAAGATGAAATCTTTTTGATAAAGTACTGAATGAAAATAACTTTACAGTATTTTGTTTCATTAGCATTTTGAATCTGGATTTTAAATACTTACCGCGACCGTCGATCAAATTTAAATATAGTACAGGGCGCTAAACTAAAATCAACATAATTATTTTCAAAAACTGCTAAATATAATTAGATTAAATCATCATATCATTAAAATTATGATATAAAGCTACAAGATAAAAAAAATTATGTAAGAATTATATCGTGGGGGATGGGGAGGGGGGATTATGCAGAAATCCTTAAGGATGTAAATCAACATCTAAAGAGGATTTTCTTTTTTCGAATACTTACTCTACGATTGCTCTGCATAATTGATTAACTGGTGCTGGTCTATTGTTTGTGTAGAGGGTTTTATTTTGAGCATTTGTTTTGTGCATTTTGGTTGAAATGTATAGAAATGGACATATGCGCAAAGTCTTTAATTCTTTAATAAAAAAAAGCTTTTTACCGAAAAAAAGAACGTTTTATTATATTTTGTAGTCAGTTTGACAAAACTTTGCAACAATAACATAAATTGAAGATGAAAAGTGTAAAAAGACGGAAGCAAACAAGGTGAAGCACATTTCGGTTATACATAATGATTATGTTAATTTAATACAACTTTCCACTATTTACTGGTATACCCCGCCCCCCTTAGCAACACATGGCAACCCAGCATCCTAGGTCAAGCAAATCAACAAAATGGCGGTTATTATCAAACATTTAACCATATATGTGAAAATGTCACAGCCATTATACATAACCTAATTTACGATATGGTTTTGATAGTAATTAAAAAAAAACATAAACAAAACTATTTTTATAGTACACTTCTTAACTATACAACAAAGATTCAATATTCATAAAAAACACAATTTTGTGCCAACAAATAATGCAGTTGGATAATCCAGGTCATGTGTTTAAATAATATGTATTCATTTGTTATACATTTTGTAAAACAATGACTTTTAAGTGAACGGTAAGTTAGTCTCGGAGTCTTATCTTAAGATCTTTTATCTATAAATGGTATTCTATGTGTCTTGCCTATTCTGCCATTTACACAATTTCCGCTGGGTCTGCATCATATCCAATATAACGTGTATAAAGGCAACAGTTATATACCGCTGTTCAATAGTCATAAATCAATTTAACTGAAACAAATCCGGGTCACAAACCAAAACCATAGGAAACACATCAATTATACGAGGAAAACAATGGAACAACAAACACACTGAACTGCTACAAAAACAAACGCCAACATGCATAGAAACGGACTATTTGATAACAACTGCCATATTCCTGACTTGGCACAGGACATTTTTTGAAAAAAATGGTGGGTTGAAACTGGTTTTATGGCTAGCCAAACCTCCCGCTTATATGGCAATGTTTAAACACTTCAAAAGTCAAAAGTCTGAAAAGACCAATTTTTGTCTGAATTTGCATGAATTTTTACTCGACATTCTTTCTTTGTCTGAATTATTTTTAAAAATTCTTAACATATTATGAATTTGTCTAATAAGGTTCTTGATTTTTTCTTGACAAGTGTCTTGACAGTATTAAAATTGTCTAAAAATATCTCCACACTTTCTGTATCATCTGATAAGAGTCTTGATTAATCTCGACCAATTCTTGACTGTCTTAAATTTGTCTCGATCAGTCTTGACATATTCTTGACATTCTTAATAATGTCTGAATATGTCTTGACATATTCTTGACATTCTTAATAATGTCTGAATATGTCTTGACACATTCTTGACAGTCTTAAAGCTGTCTGAATATATCTCGACACATTCTTGAAGATTCATCAGAGATGTCTTGACACTATCTCAACAGTATAAATTTCGCTTGAATTGTGTTTAGACACATTCTGCACTGTTTAAACACTTTCTTTTGCTGTTATATACTCATTTTTATTATCGTTAAACTAAACTTAGAAGAATCAAGGATTTGTATAGTAAGATACCCTTTGGGTGCACCTATGTGGAAAACCCCGAATGACCTCCCATGTAGTTTAATTTGGATTTATTTTTTATTAAACGTGTAATTAAATTGTTTTCACTTGGAATATATGTCGAAGTTAGTGACAAACAGCATTTGAGATTTTTGCTGGTCAAAAAACTGCCAGTCAAATTTGCTTTACTAAAATGGGTGACTTGAGGCAGTTTTAAAATGTGACCATTTGTCTCTTTTGAACCCCACCATTCATCTTGTGCGTGTGTGTGGCTAAAAAAAGGGGGGGGGACTTTCGTTCAAAATTGAGTGTTGAATCTCATAATTTTTTTATCAAAACTAAATATTTGTTATACTTCCCTCCTGATTTTTTTCTCAAGAAATCATAGAACAAAAAAAATGTTTAGATCTTAATTATGCGTGTCTGTTTGAGATCCATTTCATAAGACCAATGATTTCTCTGATGGGACCCTTTATGAATACAGTTTTCTATTATTCCATGAGTAGATAATAGTTTTCTTTTAATCTTTGGGAAATTATCCAATTTGTTTTTTATGTTAAATTATTTCACTTCATAATTTTTGATGAAGAAAATCCATTTTAATTCAAAATTTTTTTATTAAAATGATGATTTTCATTTTCATCTATCAACAAACTTTTAAAAATTGTAGTAGCATGGTCAGTCAACTGATAAGTTGCATGGCTGATTACAGGTAAAGCAGTAATTTTCCTTATGACAGTCGCGAGTACCCTGGGGTGTGTATAACTTATTTGGAATACCTTAATTGTATGGGGAACATCCTGTCCACGTTTTATACTTAATATATATTCCAACAGATGACATTACACAAATTTTCTTCTGTTAAATCAAGGATTTGTATAGTAAGACTATACAAATCCTTGGAAGAATGAGGATACAATAATACTTTGCTATTTATAAAAACCACATTTTGATACAATAATTGTTTATTTACCCTATTAACATTGAATATTATGCATGTAGAATGAAATATGTCTACAGTATGATTGGTTTTAATTATTTAGCAATTATTTATAAGATTTAGGAATCAACATTTGTAATTATTTACAAACCCACATTTGAATTGGTTTTTATCAACATACCCACATTTGTATTGTTTATACTTTAACTTTCATAGCCATATTTGTATTTATGAAAATATCTATATACCCAAATTTTCAATTATTTTGCATGCCCAACATTTGTTTTTGTTGTAACAAGTGTAACTGAAACAACAGTAAATTATATAAAGAGAAATAAAGATAAAGTTATATCATGTATATTGGTCATGATTTGTAAAACTCAGAATTTTCAAAAGTAAAATCACAAAAATTGTCAAGTAAGTTTAAGACACAATTCAAAATGTTCAGAATATGTCAAGCCATACTGAGAAAAAATAAGAATGTCGAGAATCTGTCAAGAAATTATAAGACAGTATTCATATGTCAAGAATTTGTCAAGAAATTGTAAAACCATATTCAGAATGTCGAGAATTTGTCGAGTAAATTTCATACAAATTTAATATAAATGAGAATTTGTCAAGAAAAATTAAGACACAAGTCATACATTTGGAGAATGTCGAGTAATTGTTCATGCAAATCAAGACAAAAATTGGTCTTTTCAGACTTTTGGACTTTTGTAGTGAAAATACCGCTAAAATGGAATAACATGACAGGAATACAGTACAAATAAACGCAAGAGCACTCAGGAGAGAGAAATACATAAACAAATAATATAATAGTACATTGTATTTACTTCTTCATTTCGAAACTTGATTTTTGAAACCCTTGTTAAGAAATGTGAAGCTACAGCTATAATTGAATAGGCTAACCATAGGCGGCTCACATCGTTCGACTTTCGGCGTTGCAAAGATGAAAGTGAGAAATACCATTTCTTATCAGAGAAAGAAGATACCTAATGGTCAATTAAACAAGTGGAAAAATAAAACGTCGAAAAAACAAAATTAAATTAAGAAAACAGTTCACAGAAGATTTAACATATGAACCCTACTAAAACTTAGGTATCAACGCAGATACTGCAACGAGGTTAACTTAAGTGACTTAGTATATTGATGTACTTATAAAACGATTACAGAGAGACAAACAAAGATAACAAGCAACATGTCTTATAAAATTTAAAATGGAATCGGGGAATGTGTCAAAGAGACAACAATCCGACTAAGGAGCAGAAAAACATCCCAAGGCCACAAATGGGTCTTCAACACAGCGAGAAAATCAAGTACCTTGCAAAAATAAAACTATAGACAAAATTATGTATTCCACATTTTCGGCTTGATAAGTTATAACTGGTCATATTTATAGTTATATCTATATGTGTTTTCCAAAGCCCCCCCCCCCCCCCCCCCAAAAAAAAAAAAAAAAAATTTTCGAAGTGGTTACAATAAAGGCAGTTCAAAAATTCAAACAATTTCAGTTGAACAAAGAATTTGGCGTGTTGTAATTCAGAAACCATTTCAGATGAATGAAGAATTTATAGCTGACGTAAAAGATCTTCCTTCAGATTATAACCTGAAGGATGAAACTAATGTGATCAAGTGGAAGGTTTTCTTTGAAAAATGGGGAATGTATGTCGTGATCGGTGCGTACTTAGGAGGATCTTTAACATGCCATGTTAAAGTAGAAAAAGAACAGTCTGTAGAAGACGTACAAATTGCATTGGCGGCAAAATTTTTCTTTTTTCAGGGATATGCAGGCTATGATTTTTCCAAGGCAAACACACAAAGTACTATTCAGAAAAGTTTATCATCCGTTCATTCAACTTCTTTACAGTGGAATGGTGGAAACAAAGAAACGTACAAGACATCATTAGAAAATATAGATCAAAGTGATTGGAAAGCATGGGTAGAATCATTGGAGTATTCCCCTGTTCCTCTATGGAGTTCACTTGATCTTTATCCTCTGTACCATATCGTTGCTGAAGTTGACAAAGATAAAAGTTTTATCATGCAGAGGGCTATAAATTTAGCTTTGAAAGGGGAATTTACTTATCAGCCCCCAATAGTAGATGATAGAACTACCACTGCTAAATCAAAAAATGCTGGATACTGTTTTCATGAAAATTCTGTTGTAGAACTCAGTAATGGAAATATGAAACGAATGAAAGACCTTAGGGTTGGTGATAAGATTATAACATTAAATAGCAAAGGAATTCTTGTTGAAGACGAAGTTATTGTATGGCTTCATCGATTAGGGACGGGTCAATTTACTTTTCTAAAAATAATCCACGGCCTTGGCGAAATCATATTGACCCCTGATCATATTTTTTTTGTTGGAGAAAACAGAAACCCGCAACAAGCATCCACTGTCAGTCCAGGTAATCAACTTCGATTTTTAACGACCGCGAAAGATCGTAAGACGGTTATTATGACAACTGTATTATCAATACAGACAGTGAATGGAACGGGAGTCTACGCTCCATTGACGTATAATGGCCGCCTTCTCGTTAACAATGTTGATGTCAGTTGTTACAGCACCTTGAACCCGCTACAAATAATGGGACATGACTTAATGTCAACACATGCACTTGCTCATATGGCTTTCCTCCCGTTGAGGATGGCTTTCACATTTGGTTTGGATATCAATAATGATGAATATGATGACGGAACTGGGATTCATGGCTACGCAAGGTGGTTAATGAAGTTATACTGGGCTCAATAGTTTCCCATGAGGTAGGGATAACATGTATACATGAAATTTGAGTTGGATGATAGATAAAAACTTATCCATTTGGCGTGAATGTGTAGTGTCGTCTTACATGTGATCGAAACAAAACAATATATCGATTCGCAATTATTTTTTTGAGTGTCGTGACGTCAGCCTATTCATTTACCGTGGTTTCTTTTTCTAAAAAAACGCTTCCTAAATCTGTCTCTGGAATGGAATTCAATTGTTTCATCTGTGTGCTTAATTTCATTAAGTTTGAATTGGCTAATTTACTGATTTCTGTTCACTAATGAAATTAATTTAAAAACTTACCTTTAACTTTTGTAATTTTTATATGCCTACACTGGGAATCTAACACTCCTTGAAATCTGTTATGTGTGACTAACATCAACACATTGACGAAACCTTTCGACTACAAATGGGTTACAATTTAGATGTCTATTTCATATATATCAATGAAAATATGATACAAATCGGAACAACGGACACACTGGGCTTGTACCTTTAAATATACATAATAGACAATCGAATAGTACAAGTTACAGTAGGACAACCGGAAGCGCCTGAGTATTGATTTCGGTGCTCAGTGATACGGTTCACTAGACGACGTTGTCAACACGTAATGGCGGCCATTGTTTGACGTTGGATTTGGTATTCCACGCTGTAAAGACGCATTTATGACATTCTTGGATGCTAAAACTTAATGCCACACAACATAAAAGGTAAAGGCTTATTTCAGAAATACCGAGTTAATTATTTTCAAATAATTGGGATCCCAAAAATTGATTTAAACGGCAAAAATAAAGTGTAAAATTATATGAAACGTGAAAATTGAAATCCCATTTTTCATCATTTCCTTTTCATATATTGAATACACTATTTACACCAACCACTGGTGAATTATATCCTGATTTCGGTCTTAGGTATTCGTCCTTGTCTCCGGGAATATTATACCCACACAAGTTGTCAACATCCGTTTTCAAACTGTTCAAAGTGTTCTTCTTCTTTATATACAGAAAAACATCAACTGGTTGATGATTACTTTCTGCACATTCTTTACAATCTCCCTGGAAAATATTCACGCTATCACTTCGTGCTCAGATAATAGAACATTGTAAACCTCTAACAGCAAATACGGACCAAAATTAATCATATTTGAATGCACGGATGATCACGTGTAATGCCGACTGTAAGTTCTCTAAAATGGGTGGTAATTTCCCCCCCAAATACACATGAATTTTGCTGACGTTTCAAATTCAACTCATAAGTCCATTATCAAATCAGAGGCGGATTTAGGGGTGGCAGGGGTCAGCCCCCCCCCCTTTTGTGGGAAAAATTTGGTTGATTATAATGTATATAGGGAATCACTGATGCATGACTGGAGCGGGCCCCCTCTTAGGCAGTTAGTGGGCCCCCTCTTATTAAAATTTCTGGATCTGCAAATGCAAATCATTAGAATGTAAGACATATTCACTTCAACTGTTGGCTATTTTATAGCTGGTCTAATTTTTAATAGATTCGTCCCATTTCATATACACCAAAATTTAATATTTAAAAAAACTTTCATTATTATATTAACATATATACAAGTGTGGACACAGATCAGTGTGGATAGTATGATTGGATGTTTGACAGTGTTTTATATGACAAAAGGAGTTCTATGTTTTATGTTTTCTATGTATTAACTGTGTTGCACAATGACAACCAACATGAGCATTAGGGGTGTTGTTTATGTAATATTTAGTTTTTTATGTTCAACACGGGCATGGAAGAGATACTAATTGCATTAATTACCAAATGATTATGATAGAATATATATGTTCCACATCTTTGATTTTGGATACATTTTGTAGCTAGGAGAGGAACACATAATAGGTTCATTTTTTTCTTAATGTGATTTTTTTATATGGGAGATGGTATCTGAGAACATGTATTTGCTTACTATTTGTATGGTTCTATTTATATTACTTTGTGGGGGATTGTTAGTATCATAAGTAAAAGATTTCGGTTAAATGTGGAAATTGTTTCTCAGTTTAGAAGACATTTAATGTTTTTTAGTAATGACAATGCCTGACATGATGATTGGGGCTAGATGAGCTAGAAAGTTAATTTCTGTGTTATTTTTTATTAATTCTTTGAAAATATCTCCTCCAAAGCTGGTCAAAGCAAAAAAAAGTTTTGACCAGTATGAAAATGATATCAACAAAAGAACCTTTGTGAGCATGCTTCAAAGACTCATAACTAACTACAGAAGTCATATGATAAAATGTCAAGCGGATATTATGAACATCTACTTAATATGTCTAAATATCTAAAAAGTTTTAGTATTCAATATGAAAAAGCTATTGCAAAAGCATTCTCTTTTCAGTTTTTTTTGTTATATGGATACAAATATAAGTGATACCAATACAGTAAGGCAGTTTTGTTATGGTATGAAAGTGTAGTAATTAACATTTACTGTTAATTCACACAAATTAAGAAATAAACAAATGAATGATAAATGTTGAACATGTACAATGAAATATATTTTAGAAATCAATTAGGCCAGATAGGCCTTATAAATTTTGGTCTTTTTCTTAACATACTGAATGACCATTTACACTCAGGACTGAGTCGCCAGTAGGCAGTACAGATGTAAAAAAGTAAAGTGTAACAAAAGAACCTAGCATCATATTGCTAGTAGCCCCAGTAGCATTGTTTGGTGAATTTGTGCTTTATTTTTTTAGTTTGGCTAATGGACAAAAAATGTTTGGTTCAAATCTAAATAAAATGCTTTTATCTCCCTATTACTTACATTGTACATAGAATGGATACCACTTTGACAATTCCTTGTACATGAGAGTTGTCTGTCAAATCTTTATTTCACAAAGAATGAATTGCATAACAATGAACTGAGCTCAAAGCAAAGCACTTTAATAATACACTTAGACAATGAGCTCAATCCAGTGATATACTTTGTACTACAGGTCCTTCATGAACATCCTACTGGCCAAAACCATATCTCACAAACATGCCATACTACATGGTTGGATCAGAAGTCCTGAAAAAGACATGAACTTTATTAACATATTTTAAATATATACACCGGTTAAAACTTTAACAAATTTGTGGTAAAATTATTCAGTATCTAGCAACTATCAATCGCTTCATGCACAAATTGATATAGGTTGAGTACCCCTCTGTCAGAAATAAGAACATACCTCCACCTAATTTTAGTTAACTGATGAAGAAACATTCAAAACTATAAAATGTTATCTAATAGACTAGCTGCAATGAAATCCCAGTTTTCTAAAATGGTAGATGGACCTAAAACTCAAAAGATTTTAAACTATGCATTTTAAATATTGCAAATATACATGCAATAATAATAATTCTCAAAAATTCGCTATATTTTTCCTTATTTTGTCTTTTGTTCAAGACTGTATATTGACCTCTAGATGTCTTTCAATTACATCCAGTTTGGCGTGGGTTGATGTTTGATTGTTGTACATGTTATATATCGTCATGGGATTTGTTTATATAAATTAGGCGTGAAATAATTTTGGTTAACTGAAATCCTTTAACTTAATTCCAAATTAATGTTAATACTGAGGGAAAAAATTACATTGCTAAATAACCACTTTAAAACACATGCAAACTTTTTGAGAGGAAGTCATAATGCATGTAACATCTATTAGATCTTTTTTTAAACCATTCTAAACTACTGATAAGTGATAAAGTTTGTTAACTGTTACTTACCTTCAAAAAGGGGGTTGCATTCACTTTACTACATATACATATAAATATAATCAACAATACTGAGTGCAACACCTAGGATAAATAGAGGATTGTTTTGTAAGAATAGTTGCTGAAATAAGCAGGCAATATTCAAAGTAGAATAAAAAATATTACAGGACTGTGTTTTAAAGTAATAAGCATTGTGCAGGGCTCACGTTACCATGCTACTGGGACGACAAAGTCGCTTTACCAGTCGCCACTTGGCTTTGACCGACCTTCAAAAGCGAAATCTAGTCGCCCTGTTGTTTACGATACTCAAATTCAGTGGCTTTCGTCATCGGCAATATTCAACATTTACCAAGTCGATGAAACAGCAATTTTTCATTTGAAAGTAAAGAAATTCAAAAACATAAACGATTTATTTTCTTTAGGAGGTTAAAGCATTGATTTTAAAGTTGGTTGCATGTTATTTTCATACAGACAATTTTTTTATCACTTCTGGTACTTGTTACTCAAGCGTAGATCAAATCATTCTAACTTTCGGCAAAATAAGCTTGTTACTTCATTAGAACGTGATGAAATTAAAGATTTCTTGCTGTTGTGCAATACACTGTGCTGTTGCGCAATACTTAGTAAATCTGTCGTCAGACTATAAACAAATAAAGTTCAATTAATTCCCAGTCATATTAGAAATTTATGAAAATGTAAAGGGAGCTTGCATCAATAGATATAAACAATTCACTTAAGTTTCATGAGAATTGCTGACAGCATTTTTGAGCTATTGTCCGAAAACTGGAAAATCACCCCTTTTTTAATGAATAAAACCCCATCACTCAGAAATGTAAAATTTATAAAATTCTAAACGGAGCTTACATCAATATAGATATAAACAATTCACCAAAGTTTCATACAAACTGCTGAAAGCATTTTTGATTTTTGTCCGAAACTGGAAAATCCCCCCTTTTTTCATGAATAAAACCCTGTAACTCAGAAATGTAAAATCTAAAATATATAAAAATCGAAAGGGAACTCATGTCAATAGATATAAACAATTCACCACAATTTCTTGCAAGTTGGTGAAAGCTTTTATTGTCCGAAAACTGGAAAATCCCCCTTTTTTTAATGAATAAAACCCCATAACTCAGAAACGTAAAATCTAAAATTTATAAAAACAGAAAGGGAGCTCATGTCAATAGATATAAACAATTCACCAAAGTTTTATGCAAATTGGTTAAAGCGGTTTTGAGTTAATGTCTGACATGTTAACGACGGACAGACGGACAACGGT